AAAAAAAAAGGTAGTAGTTTTAAACATTAGTGGAAAAAATTTTTTCCTCTTAAAATACACACAAATATTAATCAAATTAAAAAAAAAAATGAAAAAAAAAATTTTTTTGGTTTACTTAAGTGTTCGTTGAACTTAACCATATTTTTGAGCTTTTTATGGACTTTACGCAATCAATTTTGGACTTACAATTTTTTTTTCTAATTATTATTATTCGGCATTAAAAAACGAACAATTTAGATGTACTAAGTAAGAAATTTGAACAAAAATTGAATAAATAATGACATTTTATGTTTTTTTGAGTATTTTTGGTCAATTTTCTTAAAACGCGTTGAGCGACCTGTAAAAATTTTTTTTTTAATCTCAAATTTTCATAAAATGTTTATTTTAATGTATATAATGCATTTATGAGGTATCTCATAAACATTTCGAAGATCGATTTTTTTTGAGCCACCTTAATATATATATATAATTATAAATTAAGTCCATTATTGCTAAAATAATTCTAAATTTTTAAATGAATGTTTATTTTAAAAAATTCAATTGAAAAAATCCCAAAATGATCTATATTTAATTTATTAGATAACCTTATTAGTCTATTAACAGGACAATTAAATTGAATATTATTTCTTATGCATTCGGATAAAAATTATATTTTAATTTGGCATTAATAGAGAAAACTAAAAAATTAATTTTATTTTAAATATCAAGACAATCAACTTGACTGTGTAATAATTTGAATAAAAAACATAGATTAATTTTTTCACGTATAAGATTTAAAATATCAAGATTAAGGAAACTTTAAAAAGGATCATAGAATGAACGTCTAATTCTATCTATTTTACAATAAAAATATTGAAAATGCAAAAAGCAATTTTGAAATTCATTAAGATTTAATTTTTGATTATTATAAAATAGTAACTAAAAGTGGAACAATATTCTATTTTAAAACGAAGTAATGAACAATATAATGTTTTTAAGGTAACAGAATTAATGAATCAGTGACAATTGCGAATTAAAAAACAAAAAATTAATGGATATTAGTCAATCAATACTATGTGAATTAAAAGAGACAGAAAAATAAAAAATAATTCCATATACCATGTGGACGTTAATTTATAATTAAATAGAATAAGTGTTAGATTTTCAAAAAAAATTATATCAAATGAAAGGGAAATATCTAAGGTTTCAATACAAAAAAATATTATTTTTATTTGTTCATTTTTGAAAAAGTTATGGCAGTTTTAAGTACAAAAAACATCCCGATAAAAGGTAATTTTTATCGCAAACATTACATTTTTTTTAAAATTTTCGACAGCCATTTGCACATAGAAGATAAGATGTTGGGAACATTTTTTTTTTATTTGATAGCATATAACATTATCTTTGATTTGATATATGTTTAAAGGACGCAGTATTTCCGGAACATTTTTAAAAGTTCAGTTGATAAAGATCTATGTTTTTTACAATATTTCAAGTTTTGAACGCCCCCTATATAAGGGGAAATTGTCCAATTTTAATAAAAAGTATGTCAAATGAAAGATGTACTTATAATGTATTTAGAAAAAAAAATTTGTGCTGATATATACATTTTTCAAAAAGTTATAGCATTTTTAAGTTGAAAATTTAAAATCCAAAATCGAAAATTTTAACAAAAAATAGTGTTTTTTTAACTACGGCAGCCGATTGCACGAAATAAACGAAGATAAGGTGTCGGGACAAATTTTTTTTTTCATTTTATAGCACATAAAATAAACTTTAATTTGATATATGTTTAAAGGACGCAGTATTTCCGGAACATTTTCAAAAATTAAGTTGAAAAAGTTAATTTTTGTAAAAAAGTTGCTATTTTAAATCCCCCCCAATGAGCAGGTTAAGTGATAGATTTTCAAAAAAATGATATCAAATGAAAGGTAAATATCTAAGGTTTTAGTATAAAAAAAAATTATGTAGATTTGTTGATTTTTCAAAATGTTATAGAAGTTTTAAGAAAAATAAGTGAAAAAATGACAAAATTTACCGATTTTTAAATTTGTATTTTTTTTTATATTTCCCCCATTTTTGGGAAACGAGGGAATTTTTTTCAATTTTTAAGGGTAATGTCTCCAACTAGATACGATTTGTGATCTTTTGACGTATTTTTGAAAGAAATCGGTCCAGTGAGAGCTGAGAAAAAGTGGCAACAGACATAAAAAAAAAAAAAAACACATCATAGTAAAATTAATACCTTCTCAGCCTCTCATCGAAGCTAATATAGAATATTAAGGAAATTAAACCTAAGGAAAAGAATAATTACATTGAGATCTTGAATAAATTACATATTTCAATATTTAAAAATAAATTATTTTTATTATACCTATTATAAAGATCATTTAAGTCAATCAGCAATTGATCAGAGTCGTGAAAGGAAGTAATAACATTAAATCGAAATAGTAGTTTATTAGAATAATTAAATTTTAGTTCATTAATAAATAATAAAAAAAGAGAGAGACCCTTGTGGTGTTCTCAAAATTACAGGAAAAGAAAAAGACAAATTGTTTAAATTTACAGATAGAGATCAACCCATATCAAATTAACCAAGATAATAGTGGATTACGAAAATCATAAGAATATAATTGTTTAAAATAATGTAATGATTTACCTTTAACATTGCCATTATAATACATAGGGTTGACAAATTAATTCTTCCGAATATAAGGAAAAACTCTTAAACACTCTTTATTGATAAATTGAAGAGTATAGCAAGAAAAATCGAGAGGACATATTTAGTCTGTTAAATATATCTATCATCGGTATTATTATTTAATTTAAGCTGTGTTAAAAGAATTAAAAACATCCAATACTGATATTTGGACAGTTTATAAGATGAAGTATACTTCATAATTCATAAGATGCTAAGAGTAAAGTTAGACTTTCAAGGTTTATTAAAAAAACTAGGAAAATATTCGGCAAATAAAATCAACAATATCACGATCATTAACATCATGTGGTGTTAGATTTATGTGAAGTTTACTAAACATATTAATTAGTGATGGGCATAATCGAGATATTTCGATTATTGAAATCATATCTATTATATAATCGAGATATTCTGATTTTTTTAATAAATAATATTAGAATAATATTGATTATTCTATAATCGAGTGATTATTTCTAATGATTTCTCGTTTATTATAAAAACAATGATTTCTTGATCTTGAAATGTATATAATCGAATAAAAGTTATTTCGAATGATGTCCATGAAACGATGAAACGAGAGAATACTATTTTTAAGTTTTTATTTAGCATAAATTATAGTCGAATTATTATTAAATTGTTGACTTCGAGTCTTATTTTCAACTTGTTCAATCGCTACTCATGGCAACACCTTATCTGTCACATTTTTGGGAAGTATGTGACGATTAGAACAAAGTTTTGTCCTGAACTGGTTAAACTACTGAGTTCTGATTCTCTCACTAGTTGTGAATTTATGAAAAATCAATTAGGTGTGGAATTAGGTGTTTTAATTATGATGGTCAAGCAGGCTATTGCTACCTTATCTTATGTTTTTATTTTTAAATTTGTTATCGGTTTTTTTAAAATATAGGTAATAATTATTAAATAAAAAAAATAACAACTTGTCTTTTATTTAAAGCACTTATTAATAATGCATTATTAATATATTATTGTTATTATTATTCCTAAATTATAGTTTAATATATTAATTATAAATAAACACCAACAAATAAAAAAAGCAAAATTAAATTAATAATTATTTACTATAGATATATTTATTCATATTTCGAATAATTTTTCGATCCTCTCGATAAATAATAATAGTTGATTATTCTTATCATACGAGCAGACGATTTTAACTTCGAGTGATTTTTCGAGAGATTCACTCGATTATGAAAATGTCTCGATTACTAATCATTCGATTATGCCCATCACTAATATTAATTACAAAAACTTTATCATTATGAATATTATTTTTTTAAATTTATATAGTTGGCTAACATTTATAAAATGTATACTTTTAAATTCTAAACAACATTTTAGATGAAATAAGATTTTTTTTAGGAAGAACTTTTCAATCAATTAAAATAGTCACATGTAAAATGTTAAAACTGTAGAGAAAAAAAGAAGAAATGATCAATGCTTTTATTAACAGTGATAAACATACGATAAAATGTGTAAAAAATATTTTTTCTTCCATAAAATATATATAGTGCAGTTAATTGATAAAATCGAACGATTTATCAATATAAACTATGAACTAAGATAAAAAAAATTATTTCGTGGTTTGAACCAAAATAATACCCGACATCTAGGAGAAAAGAAAAACATTTAAATAAATATCAGGTGTGTATGATGACGCAACTAAAAATTAAGACCGACCTACAGAACAGAAATTTTCATTTAAATGGTCATTGGGTGCCAGCAGAGGATATCGTAATAAGTTTTTTTAATAGAAATCTTAGAAATTAATTTTATATAACGCTTGGCTTTTAAAATAATGATAAAAACAAATTCTTCCGATTTTAATTAATTTTTTGATCAATTAAAATTAATCAAAAAAACAGTTTAAATTGAAATTCAATAGCTCATAAAAGAATAGAATGAAAACAATATCCTTTTTGTTTTCATTTAGTCAGAACAATAATTTTATGTTTTAAGTAGAGCTAACTATATTAATATAATTAGCTCTAGTAATCTCTTGAATTTTTCCATGGGATTTATTTTGTGAGGTTGTGTTCATCGTCGATTGTATATTTTTGGAGGGAATTATCTTATTTTTAATGACGTTTTATTGGCGCCCTTGTAAACTGTCTGCGCCAAATGTCTCAAGTCAGCTGTCTATTGTGAGGAACTACTAGCAGGTTAATTACTATAACGTAAATACTAAATTTCTCTGATCACCAAACATGAATTAATGATTCACTAGACCATAAAATTTTTAATAACATTTAAAAAGTAATTACTCATTATTTAAATCTATTTAAGCAAATGTTATTACATTTAATTCCTAGACAAATCAAAAACTATGAGTGTAAGATTATCCAACTGTATCAACGGGTTTGTAACACATCTTAATTAGTATAAATTCTAGATAAATTTTTCAAAATTCTATTAGATTTTTTCATCTAGTGTAAAAGACTCAAATAATAGAACAGTACTTAAAAGAGATTATGAAGAGCTTGGTGTCAGCCCACTTCAAGATACTAGAGTTGCCAAAAAATGTCGGTTTTCAGATTCAAACAACACAGTAATTTAAGCTTATTATATCAAACTCAAGTGCAAAGAGGTATTCCTAAGAACAAGATTTCATTAATGTCTATTAAAAAAAAAAAACTTACACCGTGATTTATTTATTATTATATAGTTTGTTAAGTTTAAAATATTTAACATGAACTTGTTCTTGGATACCAATTTCAATTGTTATAAAAATTTACCTAATTAACATTTTTATTTTAGATATGGCCATTAGGTTATGGATTAGCAAATTTTTTGTATAAGTACAGACAACAGAAAAAATCTATCCACCATAATTGTAGTAAGCATAATTAAATGAAGTTTATATACTAGAGGTGCAGGGCATTTATTTGAAAATCAATTGCTTAAACTTTT